CTGGGAGCGGGCGACGCCTGGGGACCCCCGTCTCGGGCCGTGGACAGGCCCCTGAAAGGAAAGGATTGAGCCTAGATCTTTTATCCAAGTGGTTTTCTCCCTGCCACGACCCCGTGTGACCAGAGCGCGGAGCTGGGGGGTCAGGGGGAGGGCCGCCGCCGCAGTCTCCGGGTCGGGGTGGGGGAAAGGCCTCGGGGACACCCTCAGGCTTCGCGGTGACTTTTACTATGATCATTTGGCCGAGGAAGCTGTGAAGGGAAAGATGCAGAGGGAAAGGTGTGCTGGTTGAGAGTCCAGAGCAGAAGCAGGAGCTTCAACTCGAACCCCGCCAAGCAGGGCTAGGGCTCTGTTTCCTTCATCCCCAGGACACGCTGAGCGACAGAAGGAATGGAGATGTGATTTCTGATGTGAATACCCAGTTCTGCAGTAAGTAGCAAACAGAAGTCCTTAGTCTGTTTCCCACGTTCAGAATACACGTCTAAATTGGAAGACTGAGAAGCCAAGGAGATTCTGACCTCCGCTTCCCCCACCTCGAAAAATAAATAAATAACTTTAAAAGGGGGGCGGGAGGTGCTTTAGTGCCTTTATAAAATCCCAGAACAAACAGTTCAGGCAGCAAACACACATCATCTTCATTCCACTCAAAGGAGTGCTCCAAATGTCAGTCTCCCCGGGGAGAGCAGAGGAAGATGGGGGAGGGCGGGCCTGAGTGTGTTGATTCGGGGCCAGCAAACTCCGTATGAATAGAAATGTAGTAATCTTGAGTCATCTGGCTGCGTAATAAGCGCTTGTGAGCGTGTGACAATGCAGTTTGGTTTAAAGGAAGTTTTGGGGAGTTTGTGTTTTGTTCATAGATTTTTATCTTAAAAACTAGCCCCCTGCCTTCCTCATATTGTGAGGCAGAACACTTAGATTTCTTAGGCTCTGCTCTGAGCACATGATAGGGTCCTGATAGACTGCAGCTGAGTATTTTTTTTAATCCAGGAAGTCAAGCCAAGTGGGGAGCACAGGAGGGTGGGGGATCGTCAGGAAGTCCATATGCGTTAAAATGCAGGGATGTTGTTTACCTGTGACCATATCCAGACACTACAGATAGCAGTAAGTGTGACCTCAGACAGAAAAAAAGTTTCACTTTTACCACTTCCTCAGGTTAGTCAGGGAGAAAGTTAGCAGCTCTGAATGCAGACGAAAGCAATCAAATTACTGATGGGTTCTAAGAGTGGTCAAAGAGAAAGAAATAGTAGTTCATTTAATAAACTCTACTGTCTGTGGCTGTTTTATTTACTCTGTTAATAGCTGTTTATATGTATATTTTCTCTGTGTTATCACCCCAGTATTTAGTATTTATGACTTTTTAAAAGGTCAACTTCTGCTTAAATCAATTATGGTATATGCATACAAAGGTAAACATTTTTTACACTTGATCTTAGCCAAAGGCCGAGAAGCGATAGGTTAACATTTTTTAAATGAGATAGATCAATATATATGGATGTATAAATATATCTAGAGTAAGTGAAAAATCATTTATCATTAACCCATTTGTGGGGAATATGAATATATATATTTCTGTATGCATAGAAAATTCCTGGGGAGGGGGGGTGGCAGAAAACTGTTAAGTGTGCATATCCAGAATAGAAAGAATGTTTCCTTTGCACTTTAACCTTCCAGTATAATTTGAATGTTTGACCCAAATAATGGATTGCTTTTATAATAATAAAAATACTAATTTAAGACATTAAAAATATTAACTTCATTTTTACCTTCCCTACGCCAAAACTTCAGCTCTCCCACCTCCAAAACCAAATTACAACAGTACACCTGGCAGGAGAAAGAGTTGGTAGGTAGTAATGGGCCAAATAAACCTTGGCAATTATGAATAACCAACCAACTTTCCATGATATGCTTATCTGCTGCCTTGGTTAGTTATATATTAAAATGGCTCATTTTGCAAAAAAGTGTGATAACAAAGAAGAAAAATTTTAAGTGGATGTTTTTAAGATATGTACACTTACGTTATAGGATTCAACTCATTACACAGTTATTTGTTTCACATTTGCCTTCATCTTAGATTGTAATGTCCCTGAGGACAGGGATGCTATGATACAAAAGATACAATGCCTGTTTCATAGTGGATGTTGTTAACGTAAAAAAAACCATTGAAACCTGTAAAGAATTTTGTGAGTTTATTTGAGCCAAACTGTCGACATATGCCGGGAAGCAGAACCTCAACGAATTGAGATAGTGCTCCGGAGAATGGCAGGGTTACATCCGTATTTATACATGAAATTCATTGGTGACAGATTTAAGGAGGTGGGATTAAGTGAAGCGGGGAAACCTCTGTGATAGGATAAAAAGTAAAATGATGGGCACATACTTAGGTAGGTGCAGGAACAATTAACATGATAAATGAAAGAATCTGCTGCATCTGTCCTGGGCCCAGCACACCTGGTTGTGCCCCAGGGGTTCCATAAAAAGGGAAGTCACAAGTTACCCAGATATCCCAAGGATATGTTATCTTAGATGCAAAAAGACAGGCTCAGTTACAGTAAAGGTTGACCTTATCAGTGAAGATATTGGCTTAGGATGTAACTGCCCACCATCACTGCTTTTAGTTAAGGTTTAATTTCAGACCATCCTTTGCGGTTACTTTAGGTCTGCAAAACTGCCATGCAGGCCTCTCCTGAGCTTGTCAGGTCAGCATGTGGTCCCTTTTCGTCCACAATGTAAATTAAGTGTCTGTCAGATGAATGTAGAATGTAGTGCTGCCACTGAGAAGGGATGTGTTGTCCTCAGAAATGACGAGGACTATCCAGCATCTGGGTAGCATCTGTATCTTCAGTGGGAGGATGGATCAGTGCCAGTTCCCCAACTGAACCTCTGCTTCACAAGGTTAGAGATCTGGCTGGCCTGAATTAAAGGTGCAGTGTCTGCAAACAAACAGATAAGTTTACCTAGGGACTAACTCAGCATGGAATGACCTTAATCAAATTCATCACTTAAAGCATGCAGTGTATTAATTAGGCCTGGAGTAGTAACAACAGTGGCTGGAGACACAGAATTCATGAGTTGTAGTCCCTACTCCATCACTAAGTGTTATGTGGCCCTAGACAAGTAAGTGACTTACCCACTTCTTATTTTTAAAATGAGGGGCTTGAACTAGATGACCAGTCATAAATGCAAAAGTCTGGTTCTAAGTTGAATGGTTAAATTTCTCCTCTCCTAGCTTATATACTAAGTGATATATACATTATTGAAGAGTAATTAATACACAAATGAGAGAGACAAGAAATTATGTGAATGTTAAGATACATTTCTAGTCATGTTATACATAAATTATGCCTTTATTATGTAAATGGATCTTGTCCATATAAGAAAAATGACAGGGTAATATGCTAACAGTAAATTTTAAGGGAATGAATCCTAATCCAAATAAGATGAAATATAGAGGAGATTTTTTTTAATTTTACTTATTGATTTTAAAGAGAGCGAGAAAGTGGGAGAGAGAGAAAAAGAGAGAAACATAGATTTGTGGTTTTACTTATTTATGCTTTCACTGGCTGATTCTTGTATGTGCCCTAACTGGGTATCGAATGTACAACGTTGGTGTATCAGGATGATGCTCTAACCGACTGAGCTACCTGGCCAGGGCTAGAGAGGATTTGATTAGAATCTAAAGTATCAGCAAATGCAGAAGCAGATTTATTGACCTGAAACAACATGAAAAGATATTATCAGGAAAAAAGAAATCCATAAAACAAGAATAACAAGGATGTGGATAATAGAGTTGTAAAATAAAGTTAGAGAAAACATTTATTTATTAATGTAACTTGTCAGAATTTAGCCAAAGCATAGATAGTTTTATTTTAATTATTTTTTTTTTTATTTATTGATTTGAGAGAAAGAGAAACATCAATTTGTTGTTCCACTAACTTATGCATTCATTGGTTGCTTCTTGTAAATGCTCTAGCTGGGGAACGAACACCACCCAAAGTCTTGAAATATTGGGACAAGGTTCTAACCCAGCCGTGGGCAAACTACAGCCTGCGGGCCGGATCCGGCCAGTTTGAAATGAATAAAACTAAAAAAAAAAAAGACCGTACCCTTTTATGTAATGATGTTTACTTTGAATTTATATTAGTTCACACAAACACTCCATCCATGCTTTTGTTCCGGCCCTCCGGTCCAGTTTAAGAACCCATTGTGGCCCTCGAGTCAAAAAGTTTGCCCACCCCTGTTCTAACCAAATGAGTTACCAGGCCAGGGCCAAAGCACAGATAGTTAAAGATTAAGACATATAATCAGGTGTCATTGTTACAGTAGTGGAAATTTACATAATTAAATATCCTCTTA